AACAGCTAATCTTGGATAGTTAGAGTCAATATTGTAAGGAATTCAATTTTCTCCAAATTGATTTATACCTTTGATTCAACACAATTCCAGGTAAAACTGCACGAGGATTTCCCATGAAACTTGACACCAAATTTGGAATATATAAATGATTAAGTGTGAATATAGGAAAAAAAGAAAAGGAACGTGACCATGTCACTGCATAAATAAAAAATAACTTTGAAAGGATTAAATATGTAAATGTGAAGGACAGAGCTGAAAAAAAATATTTAGAACATAGGAAAATATTTCATAACTTTGTTGCTGCTGCTGCTAAGTCGCTTCAGTCGTGTCCAACTCTGTGCGACCCCATAGATGCCAGCCCACCAGGCTCCCCCTTCCCTGGGATCCTCCAGAAAGGAACACTGGAGTGGCTTGCCATTTCCTTCTCCAATGCATGAAAGTGAAAAGTGAAAGTGAAGCCGCTCAGTCGTGTCCGACTCTTAGCGACCCCATGGGCTTCGGCCTACCAGGCTCCTCCGTCCATGGGATTTTCCAGGCAAGAGTACTGGAGTGGGGTGCTTTTATAACATTCAGTTCGATTCAGTCCAGTCGCTCAGTCGTGTCCAACTCTGTGACCCCATGAATCGCAGCACGCCAGTCCTCCCTGTCCATCAACAACTCCAGGAGTTTACTCAAACTCATGTCCATCAAGTCGGTGATGCCATAAGAGGTGATTTAATCAAATGATGTAAAAATATTGATAAGTTTCAAAACAATACTAAAGATTTTCATAAAAGACTCAGTAAAAAAATTAACCACAAATGGGAAAGGATATTTGCTTATAACTGACAAAGTCTAATATTGAGAGTATACGAAACTCTCCTACAAATCAATACTTAAAAAAAAACAAACCAAGAGAAAAACAGGCAACAGACAAATAAGTACTTCCAAAAGAAGAAATTCAAGTGGTCAATAAGCAAAGGAAGAGGTGAGAAAATTCATTCAATAGTAGCCATGGAAACCAAACTAAGATCACGGAGAAGTCACAACGCAATGACCACTAAGTTGACAATGCAATAGACTGGCAAAATTAAAAGTCCACAATGCAAGGGTTGGCATAGATTTGAAACAATAGAAATTGTCATACACTACTCTCGGGTGTGTAAATAGGTACCATTTTGAAAAACAGTACGGCATTATGTAATAAAAATAAGTACAAGAATAGCTAGCAATTCTACTAAAAATTTACCATAGAGAAATCCTCAAATGTGCATTACAGGCATGTAAATGAAAAAAATTAGCTGAACATAACATAACAATAGTAACAAAAAAGGAAATACCTCAAATTACTATCAGTAAAAGGTGTTAATAAGCTGTTGCTTATTCATTATCCTTACAATGAAATACTATACAACAGTGAACATAAAAGAACTACATCTACCCAAGTCAACATGGACAAATCTCAAAACATGAAACACATATTTGTTGAAAGAAGTCAAGAAGAATTCACACATCATTTCTTCCAAATAAAATTCTAGAACCATCTGAATTAATCAAGAAAGCTTTGAAGAATACATATAGATTATAAAGAAAATCAAAAGAACTATTAGATAAAAATTCATCCTTCAGATTACCTCTGTGACTAAGTTATAGGGGGAATCAATTTGGGGGGAAGAACACCGAGGACTTCTAAGTATTGGTAATATTTTATTTCTTAATTTGGTGCTATCAATAAGGATGTTTGTTTTATTTTCTAAAACTGAACATAGATAAATTTATAGACTCTTTGATATGTGTGATTCTAAACAAAAAGTGTAAATACAAGCTGTCCAACAGTTGTTTTAAAATGGTGAACATCTTTAGAAATTGAACTATCAAAGAATATAAATGACTTAGGCTGTCTATAGTTTAGTGCAAAGTTTAAAATTATATTTAAAATAATCCATCCTCATTATATTACTTTGATCTATATTCTGAATCCTTATACTACTTTCAGAATATTTTAGAATGGAAAAGATGGACTGTTTTCAATGAATATATAAGCCATGTCATTCCATTATTTTGTCACAAGAGGGACTAGATGGTTAGAAAGTATAGTTTTCCCTTTTGTTCTTAAGATTATTTGTCTGTGTTAGCATTTAAGTTTCACACACTCTGTATTCATGTCAGTGTATGTGCTGAAGAGTGTAGTATTGTTATATATATTTCATATCAGCAAAAATGTTAAGATAAATGTTAGCTTGCCATTTTACTTCTGAATTGATAGAAAACTATATAGAAATTATTTGACTTAGCTATTCTTATTTTTTGGTAAGTAGAAGAAATAAATAGAATACAAGTCAATATCTCCAGATTTCTAATATGTTTTTGGATCGAATCTGGGGGAAAGAAAGGAAGGAAAGGACAGGGAATGAGGGAAAATGCGAAAGAGTTTATTTTCTTTTTATCAGACCATTGTGTGTTTTAGTCGCTCAGTAGTGTCTCTTTGTGACCCTATGGGGTGTAGTCCACCAGAGTCCTCCTTCCGTGTGATTTTCCAAGCAAGCATATGACAGTGGGTAGCCATTTCCTTCTCCAGGGAATCTTCCTGACCTAGGGTCTCCTAGGGTCTCCTGCATTGCAGGCAGACTCTTTACTGTCTGAACCACCAGGAAAGACTGTAGTGTCCTCCTATCTACTTGAGCAGGAAAAGTAGATTAACTGTAGTACAGAAAGAAAAAAATGCTATTTTCATTTATTTTACTTTCACTTTTGAAAGTATATGTTGGTAATATGGACCCATACATGTTCTGTTCTAATTTGTAATAATGCATGAAACCAAACCATCGTGCTGTTGCGCTGTGCTGTGCTGTGATCACTCATGTTGGACTCTCTGTGGCCCCATGGACTTTAGTTCTCCAGGCTTCTCTGTCCGTGGAATTCTCCAGGCAAGAATACTGGAGTGGGTTGCCATTTCCAACTCCAGGGGACCTTCCCCACCCAGGGATCAAACCCACCTCTTGTGTCTCCTGCATTGGCAGGCAGATTCTTTACCACTGGGCCACCTGGGAAGCCCTGAAACCATCACACTTCTCTAAAAAAGTAAAAGGATTATTTCTGGTGACACTATTCACTCCACAGAAGCTTTCAGAGGTCAGTTCACATGTGGGCCACTACTCTTTTCCCAGCTGCCATTTCCTTTCTCTTCTCCTCAGTCCTTTAAACACCTGGAAATGCTGGTTTCTCACTTCCTCTTCTACTGTCTGGGACTTCCCCAGAGCATTCTTCTCTATCCCAGGATGGCTTCTACCTATCCCTTCCCTGGAGTTATAATGGGAGTTGTTCAAGAAGGAATTTGAGGACTCAAGGAATAAAAATCACATTTCCTGTTTTTAGGTATTAGCTGTAATACACTCAGACATCAGCCTTAAATCATACAAACAAACATATTCAGTTTTTTATTGCTGTGGTAATAAATTAACACAAATATCTAGGTTTAAAAAACCCACAAATTTATGTATTCTCTTACAACTGTGTAGGTCAGAAGTGCAGTATATCATCTTGTTCAATCGCTCAGTGTCAGACGCCATCGACTGCAGCCTGCCAGGCTCCTCTGTCCATGGAATTTTCCAGGCAAGAATACTGGAGTGGTTTGCCATTTCCTCCTCCAGGGGATCTTCCCAACCCAGGGATTGAACCCACGTCTCTTGCATCTCCTATATTGGCATTTGAATTCTCTACCACTTTTCCAGCTGGAAGCCTTTATAGATGATGTAGTTTTAGTGTTTAAATTATGTAGTCTAATACTGACAATATAATGCAAGTAATTAGAAAGAACAAAAAAACTATTGAAGATGCTCTGAAACACATCTTGAAACTCTTTAAGCTGTTGAATATTGATGAAGTTGTCTTGAGAGGCAATTAGGTCTTCCTCATTGAGATTTTCAAGTGATAAGCTGTATCATCGCCGATCAAAAACTGGAACTGATATTCTTACATTTGGTGCAAAAATTAAGACTCTTTCCTATTCTAAAATACTTAATTGCTGGTAATGTTCTATTTCTTGATCTGGGTAGTAATTGTGTTTATAATCTGTATATATCTCATATTGTTCACTTACAAAATACTTATCCTATTTTCTGTATGCATATTACGTCAATAAAAAAGCCCAACAAATCTGTTAAGTCAATTCCCCTCAGCTGTGAGACAATCACTTACTTACATGGCTTTCTTAGTTTCTCCCTATTTCTATCTTTTTTAAGATAAAAACTTTTAAATCCAAGGTCAGTGAAAGTTATGCATTCACAGCTCTGGGATCTTTCCTATTAGCATTTTGACTTAATAGAACCAAGTAATGGCAATAACAAATCAAATTAAAATGTGTCTTTTAAAAGAGATAATTGATAAAACACACAAATTGTAAGGCCTCTTGTAGAATTTTTTAACTTTATTTTAATAATAAAACTTTTTTTCCCCCAAACAATATCTGAACATATATAACAAATATAGACTATCACACACAAAGCTTCTCTAGGTAAAATCTGAGAGAAGACCTGAGGGGCTCACTTACTCCATATCCAGTCTTGGCTTCAGTATCTGTTCCTCTTCCACCACCACCATCCTTCCCCACCACCACCATCCTTCCCCAGGAAAACCATTGTAAGGAAGAGATTGGGGAAAACCACTGACCTAGTGCAACCTCCCTCAACTGACAGAAAGAGGAAAGGGGAAAGGGACTTACCCAAACTAAACACTTAGCAGATTGGTATGCTGGTAAGATCTGGCTTTTCATCTATTTGATTTTGGATAAGTTGTTTAATTTCTCTAAGCCTCAGTGTCCTCAGATGTAAAATGGAGGTGGGCATACCTACTTCAACAGATGTTCAAAAGATAAGAGATAGTGTCTGACATATACTGGGTGCTGATGAAGAAGAACTACTAGTCATTCCTACTCCAGAAGAAAGGCCCCAGATCTGCGGGAAATAAAAAAAAAAAGCAAAACTGAACATTAGCTTAAATATGTTATTTTTGGTTTGTTTCAGGAAAGTAGTAGATCATCCAAAAAGGCGATTTGGTGTCCCTGTGGATCGGATTGGAAGAAACCGGCTTTCAAATTCCAGAGGCTAATGGATTCCAATCGTGAGTAAAATTTGAAGAAATAACAATACCTGCAGGCTTTGATTAATATTTCACAGTGGGCTAATTGATCCATCTTGGTTTAATAAATCCCCCTTTGGATCTCTTGGCTTATAAACTCAGTTTTTCAAGCATTTCTTACTTGATTAGTATATTGATGTTAAATAATTTAAATGACATTAAAAAACAATGCCTAGATTTACTTTGCCCTAAAAAGAAGACTTATTCTCCCAAACTCACATATTGAATATTAATATGCAGACAAAGATTAAAGCTCTAATTAGCAATAAATCATTTTCATAAATATAAATAAACATGTAGCAATCCCTCTATTATTAAGAAGACACATTCTGGTGATATACACATCTTGTTGCTCATAACTAAACTACCCAATTATCATCATGAACCAGGAGAGAAAATGATATAGCAGAAAGCATATCAGGCAAGAAATCAGGACATTTAATCCAAATCCTGGTTCTGTCATTCATTACCTCATTTCCATCAAGATAACTGATTTCTCTGCAGCTTGAACATTTAGATAATAACATTAAGGGTGTTGTGAAGATTAAATTAGATGCCTGTACTAATTCTAAATTGTATTAGACACACAATATGTGCAAGTGAGAAGAGCTTATATTACAGTTCTGAAAATTAGCTCTATGCTGAGCCCTATTCTTAGTTTTATTTACTCATCATGCTCCGTAAAGTAAGTATTGTTACTATTCCAATATCTTGAAGAGTAATACAGTATAATACAGTATAAGGGGTACAACTACCAGGTGGATAGGTCTGGTTTTGTGGGTCACATCCTGGGTCATCTACCTATTAGCTGTGGCAACTTGCTTAAATTCTGAAATCCTCCTTCATAAAATGAGGATAATGATAATTTCAACTACGTTGCATTGTCCTGGGGATAAATGAATTGGTATACATTAAGCACCTAGAGTTGTGCCAGACATAATTAAATACTCAATAATAATTATTATTATTGTACAAATAAGTGGAAAGCTTATATTAACTAACTCACAATGCCCCACAGCTAGTAAGTGATACAAGTAGAATTCAATTCCAATAAATATTTTTTGGACACACAATCTAGGCACTCCCAATAAGGCTTACAGAGAGGATTCGTCCTTTCTCCCAAACAGATTAAGACAGCTCAGAACTATTTTGACAATTTCAGATTACAGAGAGAAAACTGCTTTTTGCTTTTCCAAAATAATCCTCAGACCAATGATGAAGAGGCCCAGAGCGTCACATTAGCCTGACCCTCTTAATCTGCCATGCTCTTTTGCCTCCTCATCAAATACTCTCAACCACAATGAAAAATCAGTATTTTACCTCAACTATCTCATTCACAGAATGTCAATTAAAATAAGTTTTTCCTCTATGGAATCATTGGTCAGTGAAGTGGCAAGGTTACTGAATGTCCATAACTACAGGAGGACTTACTGAAAATAACCAATGACACTGCCATTTGAGCAGCACCATCTTCAAAACTCAGGTTGAAATTTTTTTATTTCTAGAGATATACTAAGAAGGATGGCTACTCTTCAGGGATGCTAAAAAAATCACCACATTATATTTGAAAAGGAACTAATTGCTATTAAAAGTTAAGTAACTCCTAGAAATTGGGGCCACAACACTGCAGTTTCTTGATGTATTGAGAACATTATGACACTGAGATTAAAATAATTAAATTCAGTTGGTTTCCACATATATCTCATCACCTTTGCAACTCTGGGTTATCACCCATTTTAATATTTCTGAGTTTAACCAAAACACGTGTATGACAAAAAAATCATATAAGGAGTTCACTTTTCCTATAAATTTTACATATGTTTTAGACCATAAAATCTCCAGAGTTACTAAACTATGAAAAGGGAGTTGAATTACTGTTTTCTGAATCATTGTTATGTGAAATACAAATTAATATATTATGTCCTTCACTTAATAGATTTTTTTTAATTAGTTGGAGGCTAATTACTTTACAATATTGTAGTGGGTTTTGTCATACATTGACATGAATCAGCCATGGATTTACATGTGTTCCCCATCCCAATCCCCCCTCCCACCTCCCTCTCCGCCCCATCCCTCTGGAGCATCAAGGGTTTCCCTAGTTGGTAAAGAATCTGCCTGCAATGCAGGAGACCCAGGTTCAATCCCTGGTTAGGGAAGATCCCCATCACTGTCCTTATTATTAAAACCTAAAGATAGCAATATCATAAAAATATGTTGAGAAAAGAGTTTAATATCATACATTTTTCTCTTTCCCTTTCTTCAATCATTGTGGGTTCACCTGCTCAACCATTGTTTCTATTCTTTACTTCCTGCCACTATCACCAAGATTTCTGACATTTTTTGACTTTCTCATGTAAAGTTTCATGTTTTTATATTTTAAGAATAGTAAAGGCTATCAAAATATGTTTTTAATTTCCATTTAACTTTTCAAAATTATTTTTGCTGTGTTATTTCTTATTGTCACAATATTCCTTTGAATTAAACAGGAGATGTAATATGTGAATCATTTAATAGATAACATGAATAATTAAATAATTTTCACATAATCACACAATGAAATCACTTGAGATCCAAAGATATAAAGTCCCCTTCAACCTAAATCATTTTTGTAAGTGAATGAGAACACAGGCTTTGAGAGGAAACTGATTTGCCCAAAATTTTACACACTTTTGGACAAAGCAAGCTCCAGGTCCCAACCTCTGGACTTGTAAGCCAACATTCTCTTCATGGCCCATAAGATCTGTGTGCTAAATTGTTATTGCTGATTTCACTGATTATCCATTCTTAAACAAACAGAAATAGTATCTCACACTTTATGAAAATCCTTGTTTCACTTCTGTGAGAGCTAATATACACTCTTTGGGGGCAATTTTATTTGTGGGTTTTCACCTTCTGGGTTTCACTGTAAGTCTTCACACTAATAATGAAACTGGTACTAACATGGAAGTTTTTCTTCGTTTGAGGTCAAGTCTAGATACAGCTGCTGTGTGTTACTTAGTTTCCAGAATAAATGTTTGTCTCTTCCTGATACACATTTTGGAAAGGATGATAATCTTCTTTTTACACAATGTCCTCCTCAAATTGTTAATATATTGGACCAAATTTTCGAGTTTTTAATAGGTTTCATTTCTAAGCAACTCAAATTCAGAGTGGTAAGACGCAGCTTCTCTAGCTGCAGTTAGCAAAGTTCTAGGTCTCTGCTGTTGAAACAGGATGCCAACTTAATGAAATGTGGATAATATGATCATTAATGGTGCTACCCCTTGCTGCTACAGTACCTTAAGACTTTTAATAATGTAAAATACATGTTGCTGCATTATACTGTCAATTTTTATTTTAGAACAATATTGACACATATCATTCTGATAAAGCAACATACCTCTCAAATAACAGAAATACTATGCTTAAATACCAGCATATATTTGGGTCCTTTAAAGAGAGCAAAATATACAACAGTTATCAACATGTTAACAATAAACAGAAAGTAGTAATCAAATTTTCTTTATCTTTCCCTTGTAACGGCAACATCCTTTGACCTAAGATTGGAAACTCAAAAGAAAGAGGTAGGAGAAGAAAGGGGGTGTGGTTTCAGCATAAGCACCTACCTGTTACATTTAAAATACACTTTTTAATAAATTTTGACCTGAAATTATCATCTTACATTATTGTCTCTGCCATAAAAGACATAGCACTTAAATAAAAGCTATAATGAAACTTCATGTAATTAAAGTTTTAGCTCTTCTCAACTGAAGTTGATGGATTTCCCCTTATGCAGCGGTCTCATTAGCCGTAACATTTTCAACTTTCATTTTTGCAGACACAACTTCCTTGGGTGAAATGTCACAGAAACATGGAAGATATTTTGAAGTTCTTCACACTCCTTAATGATTAAACTTCTAAGGAAACTTCTGTCATCCTTTCCAGAGCTTGAACTTCTGTTCATCACATCACAGTATTGTTACAACTTCAATTAAATTGTGCAGATAATTTCAATGCATGGATACTTTTAAAATATATATTTTAGTTATTCATGAATGGTTACTACACCCCAAACATTACTTTTCTAAGGAACACAATACATTGAAATGCTTTCTGTGTGCCTTTACCATTTACATATATGAAATTGAGGAATAATAGCTAAAGACTGACTGATTTATTTCAGTAGAATTTAGGTACAATCCATTTGATCATCACTGGGGAACAAGGAAAGACGATGCTGTGTATTTTCTCTCGAAGACTTTTACTCCTCTCTTATCTTTTGTCTGTGAGCCTCTTGGGTAATGATTATGAAATTAGGCTTCTTTTACATTCAAACGTCAATTCAGTTTAACCAAATAAAACACAATCCTAGTTCCAGATATAAGAGAAAAACTCTCTGAGCAAGAAAAGACAGCAGTAATTAAGCCATAAATTTTATTCTCCCTATAAATTGAGAAACACTGCAGGTCAGAGCATACTGACTTAGAATCAGGAATCGAAGAATATTATTCATTTGCCAAGTTTGGCTATCTCATGTCCCCTAACAACTTTCCATTTCTCTAAATTATAACTTATAGTTAATTGAGAGTAGCAGTGGCTGATTAGGAGAGCTATTTACAGAAATAACATGAACTTGTGGGGGAAGTCAAATAGGAAACCGCTAGAGCTCTTGGGGCCAGTTCAGTTCACCTAATTGAAGCACAGTACATTTTAGCACATTACAATAAGCAGTCTTCTTAATGTTAACCACCCATCTATGAATCCATTTAATCTGTTTCATATATTGTGTTTAATAAAGCATTGAAGAGTATAATATATTTGAGAATGATTTCTTTAAAATGATTCAAATTATTTTTAATTCGCCTATGAAAGCACAAGGTTTGGTATTCTGGGAAGCAGTCCTCAGCAAAAACTGCATTGTTGCTGTAATTTAAGTGCATAAGCCCGTTGTGCATTGTATATGCTTTAAAAACATACAGAGGATTTATCAC